TGAGATCTGCTATGAGCAGCCAATTAATTGAAAGGGAGTTAGACTTTCCATAGGAGTTGGCCTGCCTCCCATATGTATGGACGTTCTGGCAAAACTCTCTGGCTTTTTGTTCAATCTGGAGCCTGCATCTGGTTTATTATCATCTGACCTCTCCCTAGTCCTTTCGTCTTGAACCAGAAACTTGCTGTATTGCCTGCTAATCTTGGGTTTTTGTTTTGCTATGGCAACTTATGAGCAAGCAGCCTGCCATCTTGCCTGCTGAATTGGACTCGTAAGACTCCATTTCCAGCTGCCTGCTGTATTGTCTGTTGATCTTGATTTCATCTCCCCTGCAACTACATGAGTCAGGAAAACCTCCAAGCTGTCACAGACCCATGGATGTGGGACTTGCCAGCCTCTACAACCATGGGAGCTATTTCCTTTAGATAAATCGGGGGGGGGGGCATTGATTTTTCTTCTATAGAGAACCTAGCCTAAGATAGTCACCATGACAGGAACTAACAATAACATTTGAAAGACAGACTACTTTATTTATTAATTGAAAAACAGGGAACCCACTAGATTATGATAGAATTATACAGATACTGAAAGAATTATATTGAAAACACCAATAACTCAGTGATTACTCTTAGAATTATGTAGAAATTTTAAAAAGTAGCTGGATTTAAATTTATTATATACAAATCAGTGCATGCATTTGAACAATTTTATTTCTTGGTTTCTTAGTTGCATCAGACAGAATCAGTTCTAACTCTATTAAACACGTTCATGACCCAGTTATATCCTGCTTTGAATTTTTTGCTGATATATGTTTCCATTAATGTACGCATGCTGAATCCTTTGCATGTGTCTGAATTTTTGGTGGATAGTGTGGATTTTTTTTCTTGCTAATTATCCCACAAGCCTACACTTACAGTCCCAAGGGACATATGTAGTCCCATAAATTCTATCCCAAGTATTGGCCCAAATTCAACAGGTACATACTTGCTCCAAATAACAATTTCCCAAATTTCTATTTTTCCCATAAAAAATTCAGACCCTTTATAGGATGTCCTGTCAAAACAGTAATTTATAACATATACTCATTTCTTCAATTTCAAATTGTTATGCAGACCCTATATTAATGGTTGCAGTGGGAAATATTGCACTATGCTATATACTATCCTAATACTGTCAGTGGGAAATCAGCTTTCCAATAAACATGAGAGGTGGAAAATGTATATGTACACTATATAACCCATGGGTCATAAAAGGGTTTTTAATCAGAAAATAAATTTATTTAAAAACCTTGATCACTTCACAGAGTCTCTTAGAAGGCTTGATAACTGAGTCTGGAAGCTGTGAGTCCAGAGCAACAAAATGGACATTTCAGTTCCCAGAAGTGATGCTGGTCATTGGATTTCAGACTCCACTACTGCTCCTCACTAAAGCAAGCAACAACCTGAGGAAATTGATGCCACATAGTGCCTACTTTTTCAAATTTTTCAATTTTTCAAATTGTTCTTAAGTTGAAGTGTCAACCTGAAGCATCTAATCTTAGAACCCAAGTTCTATGCCTATATTCTAGCTATAAGGGAGCCCAAGAAAGTAAGTTTTTATCTTCTGTCTTGGGAGGTAGTGTTAGTAATATGGGAATTCTGATAATTTAAGATGCTGCTCAAAAATGCTTGGAAATTGCAATACATGTTAAACATGAATAAAAAATAAGTTAGATTTAGATCAGTTACAAAAATATAAAATTATAGAGTAAACCTATTGAAAAATACGTGAGTTACTTTCATAATGAGCATTAGAAAACTTTCACTAGGTAAAAACAGCACAAGTATAGTAATTATTGCTCAGAACAAACCATATAATTTTAAGGAGCATAACATTTGTCATGTTAATATACAAATATTGAATGATTGAATTATCACAAGAAAACCCAATATTTATTGGAATGGATGAGGAGGTTAAAAATTCATCTGTAAGAATAAGAATAGAAGACAATAAAAATACTTTACAGACTAAAGAATGGTTATATTACCCAAAGTATTACAGCAAACAATTAAAGTATTATTTAAATAGCATAAATATATAAATACAGATTAATGAAAGAATTGAAAGCATAGAACTACAAATAAAAATAGCTTTGCTCTTTTGGTGATTCAGCAGTCCTATTAAAATAGTAGTAAAATGGAAGAATTATTTCAAGAATTATAATAAAATATTTAATTGGTACACAACTTAGAAAAAATTCAGATTCACATGTTATTGTAGTTGGATGCGATAGTCTAATTGTTGTGGAAGGAATATATCTGAATATTAATCATTTAAACCAAAGTCTTGATAGCTTATGTGGGTGCAATGCAGTGACTTACTTCATATGGTCTCTGCAGTCATAATCTTTGTGACTCCACTGCACTGATTGGATAGGACTAAAGGTGGATAGTTATATATTGAATTATGTCAGCTTGGCTAAACCACGATTCCTGGTATTGTGCAGTTGTCCTTCATTTGTGATCTGATGAAGTATCCTCCATTCTGTGGTATGTTGTAAATCCTAGCCTCTAAGCCTGTGGTTATGGCCATATGTTGGATTGAGCTGTCTGTAATGTTAAGGAGACAGGATTAGGATAGGATGTATTTTGAATCACTGCCTTATTAGAAGTTGTTCCTGAAATCATTACCCTTACCCCAGTCACTAACCACACTATTCTTATTCAACTCACTGCCTTACTTGAGTCATACTTATTATCCTATAAAAGACAAAAGAAAGAGAGGATTGAGCAGGCTCAGGGGTTGGAGACCATTACCACCAAGAAAGAAGAGCTAGTAGTGAAACTAGGAGTGGAGCTAGGAGCCAGGATGTTGCACAGAGAACCTCTTAGTCCCAGGAGATGTAGAGAGTTGTAACACTGGAGATGAGAAGCAGCAGCAGAAAACAGTGGAAACAGAGGCAGCAGAACCTGAAGACCAGCAGGAGACAGCGTGGTGGGCTTCCCAGCCCATAAAGTGAGAAAGCTGAATGTTTTTTGGCAGGAGGCTTGCTGGTGGAGCAGTGTGCCTCCCGTCACTTCGCAGAGTTAGGCTTGCCAACCCACAGAGTAAAACAGCCAAGTGCATTTGAGCTAAGGCTTACTGATGTATCCGGGTACCTCAGGGCCCTTATTGGTGGAGCTATAGGGCTTTGTAACACTTCCCCACACAGGGCTGAGGCCAGGCCAGCCCTAAAGGCCTGAAAAGCCAAAAGGCCAAAGGCCAGAGAGAGGTATGACTGTGGGCACTTCTAAGTAGAGGCTGTCCTGATCAAAGAACTGTGTCCTGAGTCATCTCTGATCCTGAATTGTAACCTGTTACTTCCCTAAGAAACCCACGATCACAAGTATTGTTTGTGAGTTCTATATGAACATTACAACAAATTATTAAATAGAGGGTACTGTAGGTGAGAGGGGAACTCCGGTAGCATAGTGCCTAAGGCACTTGACTGCTAACCAGAAAGCTGGCAGTTCAAACTCACCAGCCACTCCTTGGAAGGAAGGTTGGGCAATCTACTTCCGTAGTGATACTGCCTCAGCAACCCAAGGAGGGGTCTCTATGAGTCGGGTCCAACTCGACAGCACACAGCAACAACAGTAGATGGGATGGTTCGTGTCAGAACTGCTGAAAAGGTTGGAGGGAAAAAGGTATGTCTGACCTCTGTCTTATAGGAATCAGCTTTGGGCTTATGCTGAAGGTGGTTCTCTTTCCTCCTCGTGAAGTGAAGGAGGTCAGTTGCCTCTGCCACACCATTACTACAGTGGTTATGCTTTACTACCACAACCTTTAAAAATACATATTTAACCTATAAGATATAAAGTTTGCATAGAAAAAAGTCACCTGAGAACAAATTAACGAGCAACTGAGAAAAAAATTTTTTTTTTGCCATTTTAGAATACTGAACTGTAATAAATATAAAGATTTTAATAAAAGTGATAAAATATAAAAATGTTTAAAATTGAATCAATATCATGAAAGATAAATAAATATTAAAATTATCTTTAATCTATTGAATTGTCACAAATTTTTATAAAATATAAAAATTATAAAAGGTAAAATTTAGTTGCTTCAAAAATGGCAAAAATGTAAAATCCCCACAATATCCAATACTATGTACTTTTGTGTTTCAATCACCTAGTAGTTTCTCTGTGAGTATGGCTTGTATGAAGTAATAAAACTGTATGAAACATGTGGGAGAAGTGACATGGGCATACATTGCTAACGACATACAAATGGTTTAATAGTTTTGGAAAGCAATATGAAAATATGTTCAAAAGACTTTTCATTAAGTAATGCTTTTGCTTGGAATTATGAAGAGCAGAACTTTAACTTTTAATATTATTTGTAAGACTGAATATCTGGAAGTAACCTGTATGTGTAAAATATAGAAATAGTTAAATGTCCTATGAAGTGAGTTCCATTAAATGCCATGTATAAATGAAATTATAAAATCAAAACTACGTAACTTTATATAATAATGCTACATACATTTGTACCGATACACAAAATTAATGTGTATAAAGATGAGATTTAAAATGCACATGTGAAATCAAGCAATTGAAGTAAAAATAGTTAATTTGGTATTTTGGTGAGATTGTGGATAATTTATCACTTTTTTTATTCCTATTTGTTGTAATATTGACTATTCAAACTAAAAAATAAAGTGTGCATATGCTTGTTGGTATACCTCTGTATGTGTGAGTGCCTATATGGTTTGGGAGCAAAAGGAAAGAAATGATCGATCCTACATTAAAGAGAGTATATTTTTTTTATTTTCTCTCAGTTTGGAAGAATGAAAAAATGGTTTCAGTTATTAAAAAAAGGTGTAGAAATTACATGAAGAGTTTCCCTAATGACAATGGTTATATTGCATGGATAACCTATAGTAAAAAAAAAAAAAAGTATCATTTTTCCTCATTACTACACACTGAAGGAATTCAACATTATTTAAAATATTTCTTATATATAATATAAAAAAGCCATCAACAGAAGGATACAAATGTTTTTTTCCTGGTGAATTTTCCACCCAATATTAATTTTCTGAAAGCACCCTTCATGGCCTCATTCCTAAGGCTATAGATAACGGGGTTGAGAGTTGGGGGTACAACTGTATAAAAGATAGAAACCATAAGGTCAAAAGTAGTTGGAGAATCTGAAGTTGGTTTGAGAAACTCAAAGATACCTGTGGAAAGAAAAAATGAGACAACAAAGAGGTGGGGCAGGCAGGTGGAGAAGGCCTTGGATCGGCCCTCAGCAGAGGGTATTCTTAGAACTGTGGAGAAGATGTGGATGTAGGAGAGGACAATGGAGATGAAGCAGATGAATGCCATCAGAGACATGAAAGCAGCCACTCCAACCACTCCAAGGTAATCATTGGAGCAGGAGAGCTTTACCAACTGGGGGACATCACAGAAGAACTGGTGAATCATTTTGGCTCTACAGAATGTGATAGAGAATGTAGCTGTTGTGTACAAGATTCCTGACATGCTTCCACTTAGCCATATGGCTATTACAGCCTGTTTACACTTCCCAGGATGCATGATGACCTCATAGTGCAGGGGGAAGCAGATGGCTGCATAGCGGTCATAAGACATCACGGTGAGAATGGCCACTTCAGCCCAAGCCAAAGACGTGAAGAAGAAAACCTGGAGCATGCACTGACCACGGGAAATATGGCCATCATCCATCAGAGAGTTGTTAATAGACTGAGGGACTGTGACAGAAATGAAGGTGAGGTCCAGAAGGGAAAGGTGCTTTAAGAAGTAATACATTGGGGATTGGAGACGATGGTCCAAGGTGGTGATGGTGATAATAATGAGGTTACCTGCCAAGGCCAATAGATACATCATCAAGAACAGCAAAGCATGTAAAATCTGTAGCTCGTGAATGTCAGAAAACCCCATGAGGAGGAATCCACTCATAGTGGTCATGTTTGTCATAATCATTTTGAAGATTTCAGTTGTAGTGGCAGCTAGAAGAAAGGGGATATAGAAATTGTGGTAGAAAGATATTATAATAAATTTACATTCATTTATTCATCATCGCATCTTAAAACAATTATTTATGAAGTACTTGCTATTTATCAACTTTGCCCCAGATGCTTAAGATCCAAAGGTGAAGAGATGTATTTATTGTAGGCATATAACTTAAAGTCTTTACTAGTAAAGCAGTTATAGTTGAGTTAATTGTATTCTGGTCCTGTCACAGAAAAAAGCCTCCCACACAAAAAATTTAGCATCCCCCCCCCACACACACACACAGAAAACACCACCCTCTTTTTCCCCTGATTAAAACCCATTTTTTTGCTGCAAGTCAACAGAAGGAAAAGCAGTCATCAGGTCTCCAGTACAGAGTTTTATCAATTGGATGGTTTGAATTTCTGTACAGTGCACTGCCCTATTTTAGCAAATGGAATGGCCCAGTAGAGGAAATACAGTATTGGGAAATGAAACATGGTTTAGACTATTGGACTGGATAATACCCAAAATGTCTTTCTGTCAAACATTTTAGTCAGTATAGACAGAGTCCCAATAATTAAGTAGCCAAGGACCAAATTGTGTACTGCTATTGCTCTTCCAATGAACATTTTTAAATGGACAGGACATCTCATTGAAATAAGAGCAAATGTACATTTGCAAAGGAAATAATTAAATGTAACACTCAGATTCAATGTCCATTTTGATTGTCTAGAATATCATCTGGTATCTAACAGCTTTCTCTTTGAACCTTTATTTTACTTACTTTCTATTCACACCATTTGTCTTCTGTCCAAGTCATCAAATATTTAGTGACATGCAAAGGCATTTTTAAAGAAGAGCACCATATAGTGATCACTCTGCAGTAGTTTTATTAGTGGAAGGAAAATATTTAAATACTCAATAGACAACTTAAGGAAGAGACACTTTAGAAAGAGAGTATGAAGAGATATAAAGTCATATATTTTAGAGAAGGGAAAAAATGTTTGGGTTCATTGTCTGGTAATTTGTATTCAGAAACTTTGTGCAAGGGAAATATTGAAGTGTTCCTCCAAAATATTTACCAATATATAAGGGATGGTGGGTTACTTTGTGATCTTTGAGTTCAAGGCAACAACTGGAAAAACAGCTTGCTGTATGGGAGTCTCTGTGCTTTATTCTGAACCATGTGACATCTCACCAGATGGTTATTGTGTTTCAGAAATTCATTTTCTCAGAAATTGTAACTGGACAGATTCTAAACCTTGCAGGCAGAGTTTCCTTCCCATTCCTCTTTTTGACAGAGGTCTCAATTGCTTTATTTTTCTGAAGTTTGATGTCAAGTCTCTCCTGCTAACATGCAGACTTATTCGACCTGCCATATTTTTTCTCTGCTGGTAAGAATGAATTTGGCATTGGAACATTCTAATTGTGCATCTTACCATGTGACGAGGGTAATAGTTACAGATTTATAATAACAATAGATTTTAAGTTAACTAACATATTAAAAGGTTTTGTTTTAGCAGCCATGTTTGAAAGCCTCTTTTTTCTTATACTGTGCATATGAACCACAACTGTAATCTAGCTACAATCTCCCCAACTTTATCCATTTCCATCAAAATCTCACACAAAATAATAGAGAACAAGAGGAATTACAGAGCAAGTGTGTTCTTACAACAAAGTTCCTCCCTTACAATGTTCTGTATTTTTTTGTCCTCTTTTCCTTTGAACTGGGAAAATGATACACAGCATTATTATCTACTTAATTTGGACCTTTCTTCACTAGATATTTTAATTTGCCAATTATGTTCAAGTAATTATTATCAGAGCAGGCAGTAAAAACCAAAACAATTTTGAGTGTTCATTTTTATGAAATAGACACACACCATGCTTGAAACCCTCATAAAATGTGTCTTATTTAATTTACACAGTGTTCTTTCTGTGATGTATGAAGTATTTTAATCTCTATTGTCATAAGAACAAAATAAGGCTCAGTGTACTTACGTATAGACTTAAGATCTGAGCCCCAAACCCTTGTCTTTTCTAATTCATGCTGCCACATTATATGTAATAATCCATAAGTAATAATAAGAGACTTATACTAACATTTACACTGAAGACGTATCCATCCACTGCTCTGCCTCTCCAGCGTTATCAGTAATTGTTTGAGGAAGTATTTCACAGTTGCTCACCAAATGCTTATATAAACACATAAAATATTAATATTTCCCAATTTACTGATTTTCCTTAAATGGCTCAATATCATTATAAAATTTGATCTTTTTTTTTTTTTTTACTTTGTTAATATGCTCATTTCAAGGATGTTAGCTACCTTCCTTGTTAGAATTATCAGTCTTACTTTTTGAAACTGAATTTGTAGAACTTCAGATTTTGT